TCATCCGATCCGAACGACTTACTCGTGCTGTCACCGGCGCATTACCTAATTGGCCGACCACTGACGATCCTCCCGGAGGGCGACTTGTCATCTGTCCAGCCAACCGGCTGTCCACGTGGCAGCATATTCCAAGGTACGGCAGGATTTTTGGGCGCGCTGGAGCTTAGAATATCTGAACGAGCTTCAGATCCGCAACAAGTGGGTCAAGGATGGCCCAAAACTCGAAGTCGGAACCGTTGTCCTCGTGAAGGACAAGAATCTGCCGTGCACGCAATGGGCACTAGGCAGAGTGGCAGCAGTGCATCCAGGAGAAGATGGGATAGTGCGAGCGGCCACTATCAAAACCGCTAACGGAAATCTAAAAAGAGCGGCGAGACAACTGTGTCCTCTTCCGATCGAGTCGTAACGATGCGATAGATATACAATACGATACAAACATTATGTGCAATTACTTTAAGCTTCAATGTACAAGTAACGCGCTATTATCACAAGGAAATGTAAAATTTCATAAGCTATGTCACAGGAGCACGCGATCAGCTCCAATCTAATCGTTATGCGATACAATTATAATCAAATCTCGAATGCATAAACAATGCATTTGATTATACACGTAAGCGGCACATCCATGCGTAAGCGATTAACACACAGTTGATCGTACCCTCTCAACGGGGGGAGGATGTTGCGTAGAGCTCTACCGCGTAAAATAAATATAAAATACAAAATATAAATTCGAGAAAGGTCGTGCACGACAAATTCGAAAGCGAAGACGGGATCGGCAATCGCGACACGTGGCACACACATGTGCATGCGTCTTTCGAGGTTGACTTAGCAACCAGATAAGGGACAAAGGCTTTCGGCTCGGTAAATGCGTAATCCATGCAGGCACGGACAGGATCGTCGCCGCCCCTCTGACGTGAAGGTCACGTTATCGAAAGGGACCAATAAGGGAGCTGGCTGGATGACTGAGGAGAGCAGCGGATTTCGAGAAAGCAACTCACTTCGATCGAGAGCATCGCGCTGTTCAGTTCGGGCTATTCTATCTCGCATTAGCAGAAGCAATTGTCTTAAGTCTGTAGTCAGTCTCGAAGGCACGCGACGTGTACGCGACAATCCGCGACCCAGGGCCCACAGCTCTGAGGCGTCGTCGCGATTTTATAGTGATATCCGTGACCCAGGGCACCTAGCTCTGAGGCGTTGTCACAGTTCACGCCGACCCGCATAAACAACGAGAATCCGTTTAACAGACGTGGCGTTCGCGACTCAGGGCACACATAGCCCCTAGGCGTCGTCGCGGCAAAAAACATATATCGATTTAGAATTTAAAGACTATATAGTATATGGTGACAAATCCTAATAAACATTACAACAACTCACATACGCGAAAATACAGTTGGGAACTTAATTGCATCCTTTCTGACAAACCATTTGGTGCCTCCTGTGAGGTCTTCGGCCTCCTACAACGCAAAAAGAAGCAATTGTGTGCAGCGCATCTTCGAGACTCGATTCGGCTTGAAGAACGTCAACGGCAGTCGCTCACGCATCGCAGCACATCAGTGTAAGTCGTTCATTCCTAATTTCAATATGATCGGATCAC